ACAACAAGAAGCAAAACGTTCGAGTATTTACTGCTCCAAAATGTGGTGCCTGCGTAAACTCGTTCGCTGCTAAGGAGATGCTACTTGTACACCGTTAATCGACATCCAGACACTCAGGGTGCCACTATTGCCAGCTATCGTTATTCTTGACATATACCCGTTAAAATTCGGTACATCTTTGCTGTGCCCTGAAGGGAGATGATCGCTTGGCTTCGCTGTTCTTATTTGTGCATTCTTACTCTCTTTGGTTGTGACTCTCATATTCTTCGTAATGGTACTATTTTCGGTCACTAGTATACTCTTCAACTGGCTTTTCATATAATCAAGAATGCCGGATGTACTCAAGCTGAAGGTTTTGAAAAAAGTAACCTAGAGTGGGTGACAAGGGATGTGGTATGTGTTTTTATGTAAACGCCCGCCGCTGAAAAGACTGAAATGAAACTTTTGAAAAAAAACTTTTGAGGAAAGTGCGAAAAGTGAATAGGAGTGAATAGGAGGAAAGCAGATAAAAGGCAGCAAACTGCTCCCACTAGATCCGCATTTCGATCCGATACTTGGCACTAACTGAGACCGTGACCACCGGGTAGGGCCGTAGATGTTAGCCATCCAAAGTAACGACGAAAAATTTGGTCTAAAAACATTTTGGGATACTCATTTTTGCGGCCGCACAACCCCAAAATTCAAGGAAAACAAGAAAACTTGACAAGTCCCCCTAGGTTCGCCATGATTGTTGACAGTTTTTTATAAAACACACCTCTGAATAAAGCTTCTGTACAGGACGTATCAACTTTAATAACGTGCGAATAAGCCATAAATCATCGATAAGGAGCTCACAAACAGTAACAACACCTCAAGCGCATCTTAGACTTCTGGCGGGTTTGCGAAGACATACAATACCGCTCATAATTCGTCAAAAAAGTCGCCGAACTGCGGCGCACTCCGCCACACTCCGCCACAGTGCGCCGGAGTGTGGCAGAGTGCGGCGGAGTGTGGCAGAGTGTGCCACACTCCGCCGCAGTGCGCCGGAATGATCGTCAATTTAGCCATATCTCGCTTCAGAATGGACGAATTCTGAATCCGAGGACACCGTTCGATTCAGCTCGACGAGACGCATCATCTTATATATGAAGCTGAACTTCTGTTTGTCTGTTTGTCTGTACGAATGTTCCGAATAGAAAAATCCATTTCTGAACCGATCCGGACCAAACTTGGCACACATACACTTCGGGCACCGGCGGATGTCATAGGCTACTTTTCTTTATCGATCGATATCGATTCTATCGATTTCTGGCGATTTTTTTGCAGAGTTCACCTATGGGGCTGGGAGTTTGCATAGGGGGGTAATCGAGCACGGGGATTCCGAATACAATATTGGTTTTCGATTATCGATTACTTTTATCGATTTTATCGATTTTTTGCAAAGTTTGAGCTACGGGGTGGGAGTTTGCACAATCACAATGGTAATCGAGCATGGGGATTCTGAATACAATATTAGTTTTCAGATTATCGCTTATTATTATGGTTGAATTCAGTGTGCTGATAACAGTATTACCATTGATCTGTCGCTGATGACACATAGACAGTATACTATAGGAGTATGGTAGAGAGCCGCTCTGATCGAATTTGTTCTAAGATCTGCTCAAGATCACAATACCGCGCACAGAATGTCAAAATTTCCGTGAACTTCGCGGAATTCCGGGATTTCCACCAAAGTGCGTGATAATCCGGGAAGTTCGCGACATATCAGGATCCGCGAAACCATGCGAATCACGCAGAGAACGCAACGCCATAACATCCTTCGGAATGAATATATTCCGAATCCAGAAGCAGCATTGTGTTGAGATCGTCGAGGCAAATATTTTGATATACAGTATGCTCTCGATATTCCATTTCCAGTTTTTTCGAATTTTTTTCTGTGGAGGTCTTTTCGCAAGGATGTAACGCAGCGTCTGTGTAACATAAAAGATTCCAGTAAGCACTGTTCGATAGTACTGTCCTTGTAGATTATCGTGCGTTCAAGAGTAGCTGCAGACTGTCTCCCAAAAGAGACAGAAGCATTGGTGAATTTTGGAAAAATGACGCGTTTCTAAATTCTACTCGCCGTAACTTCCTTCGGAATGAACATATTCTGAATCCGAAGAGAGCTTTGTGCTCAGTTCATCAAGCCAAATCTTTCGATATACACCATATCCCTGATATTCCGATTTTAATATTCTCAAATCTTTCTGTAGACGTCTTTTTGTGAAGGTGTAAAGCAGCGCGCATTGCTCCTAGTAGACTCCAGCAAGGACCTTTCGATAGTACTTTTTCTGTAGATTACGTAGCTTTGAAAAGTAGTCACAGGCATCTTTCCATAGGAGTTAAAAGGGCTGGTGAATTCTGGAAAAATCATGTCGTTCTAAATTTTTCTCAACGTAACTCTAAAATATGAAGCTCTCTTGCTAAGCAGATGTGATTTTCGTAATCAGCAGGTCGGATAACCCTTATAAGCAAGTTTTCCAAGATGTTCGAGTAATTTCATTTTTTCTCGTTTTACGCTCTGAAGCTGCCCGATGGATTTTGGTCAAAATGTTCATGCTCTTAAATTGTAAGGAAACTTCGCTTATAGAGGTTTTCGAATACGCTCTTTACGAAAATCGTAGTCTTTGAGGATTACAGGGTCTTCTTGGAGAGATAGTGAGGTGACTGTAACTGCATCACGAAAGCTCGTAACTTCGCCTCCACCTCTCACGTGTTTGTCAAAGAACCTGCCTGCTTGCTTTACTAGTCAAAGATACTAAGAGATGTGCTATCGAATGACGCAAGACTCAGGCTCCAGTCTATAAAATTCGCCGAGTTACGAGCCCACGAAAACACGTTCTCATGAATTTTGCTCAAAATGTAAAGATCGCAGATTTCGTCGAAATTCCACCGTGAGTGCTTGTACAATACGCTGATCAAATCTTTTCACATTCTTAATGGATCTTATCGTGAGATCTGGTGATTTGAGCTTTAGCCACAAAACAGCTTTGATATCAATTGCTGAAGCACACGCAAGCACCATATTCAATACGGTGGAGTTATTGAGCGAAGCGAATATAATATCCGCAATGCGAGCGTCATACAACACTCACGGTGGAATTTCGACGAAATCTGCGATCTTTACATTTTGAGCAAAATTCATGAGAACGTGTTTTCGTAGGCTCGTAACTCGGCGAATTTTATAGACTGGAGCCTGAGTCTTGCGCCATTCGATAGCACATCTCCTACTGTCTTTGACTAGTAAAGCAAGCAGGCAGGTTCTTTGACAGACACGTGAGAGGTGGAGGCGAAGTTACGAGCTTTCGTGATGCAGTTACAGTCACCTCACCGTATCTCTCCAAGAAGACCCTGTAATCCTCAAAGACCACGATTTTCGTAAAGAGCGTATTCGAAAACCTCTATAAGCGAAGTTTCCTTACAATTTAAGAGCATGAACATTTTGACCAAAATCCATCGGGCAGCTTCAGAGCGTAAAACGAGAAAAAATGAAATTACTCGAACATCTTGGAAAACTTGCTTATAAGGGTTATCCGACCTGCTGATTACGAAAATCACATCTGCTTAGCAAGAGAGCTTCATATTTTAGAGTTACATTGAGAAAAATTTAGAACGACATGATTTTTCCAGAATTCACCAGCCCTTCTAACTCCTATGGAAAGATGCCTGTGACTACTTTTTAGAGCTACGTAATCTACAGAAAAAGTACTATCGAAAGGTCCTTGCTGGAGTCTACTAGGAGCAATGCGCGCTGCTTTACACCTTCACAAAAAGACGTCTACAGAAAGATTTGAGAATATTGAAATCGGAATATCAGGGATATGGTGTATATCGAAAGATTTGGCTTGATGAATGAGCACAAAGCTCTCTTCGGATTCAGAATATGTTCATTCCGAAGGAAGTTATGGCGAGTAGAATTTAAAAACGCGTGATTTTTCCAAAATTCACCAATGTTTCTGTCTCTTTTGGGAGACAGTCTGCAGCTACTCTTGAACGCACGATAATCTACAAGGACAGTACTATCGAACAGTGCTTACTGGAATCTTTTATGTTACACAGACGCTGCGTTACATCCTTGCGAAAAGACCTCCACAGAAAAAAATTCGAAAAAACTGGAAATGGAATATCGAGAGCATACTGTATATCAAAATATTTGCCTCGACGATCTGAACACAATGCTGCTTCTGGATTCGGAATATATTCATTCCGAAGGATGTTATGGCGTTGCGTTCTCTGCGTGATTCGCATGGTTTCGCGGATCCTGATATGTCGCGAACTTCCCGGATTATCACGCACTTTGGTGGAAATCCCGGAATTCCGCGAAGTTCACGGAAATTTTGACATTCTGTGCGCGGTATTGTGATCTTGAGCAGATCTTAGAACAAATTCGATCAGAGCGGCTCTCTACCATACTCCTATAGTATACTGTCTATGTGTCATCAGCGACAGATCAATGGTAATACTGTTATCAGCACACTGAATTCAACCATAATAATAAGCGATAATCTGAAAACTAATATTGTATTCGGAATCCCCATGCTCGATTACCCCCCTATGCAAACTCCCAGCCCCATAGGTGAACTCTGCAAAAAAATCGCCAAAAATCGATAGAATCGATATCGATCGATAAAGAAAAGTAGCCTATGACATCCGCCGGTGCCCGAAGTGTATGTGTGCCAAGTTTGGTCCGGATCGGTTCAGAAATGGATTTTTCTATTCGGAACATACGTACAGACAAACAGACAAACAGAAGTTCAGCTTCATATATAAGATGATGCGTCTCGTCGAGCTGAATCGAACGGTGTCCTCGGATTCAGAATTCGTCCATTCTGAAGCGAGATATGGCTAAATTGACGATCATTCCGGCGCACTGCGGCGGAGTGTGGCGCACTCTGCCACACTCCGCCGCACTCTGCCACACTCCGGCGCACTGTGGCGGAGTGTGGCGGAGTGCGCCGCAGTTCGGCGACTTTTTTGACGAATTATGAGCGGTATTGTATGTTATCGCTACCATAAATATAATGCAATCGCTTCTGCACATTTTTACGTAGCGTATCTTTCCATCTTGCTGGGTAATCCGTCATCGAAAAGTTTTCCATGCCTTCAACTTCTTTGAGCCATATTTGACCCCAAGAACCAAAATGGATGTCACGATAATGCCTAAAAACGCTAACTTGCTCTCTGAAATGCATTCGTTTGAAAGTATAAGACGGAACTAACAGTCTCAAGTCGAATTTTTTTTAGAAGACCATTACCTGACCACCCCAACTTCTGGCTCCAATCGATAAAGCGTATAATTGTCATAGAACTTGTGGAAGTGGATTTCCATCATCAGCATCTAAATCAAATTAGTAATTTCTTTTTGTCTTTTTGTTTCAGTTCGCAATCAATCCTTTCTGTATATCAATAAGATGAGTTTGATGAAATTTTTTTGTGATGTTGGCATCGCTTAGAACTAACATACGAATTTGCACTTCCACGCATTAGATCATTACCTTAACTCAATTTATCGTTTATTATTTAGCAGAAGAAAACAATCCCTCATAAAAGTTCACCCTACTTGACAAATAACTCTCTTGCTTTGACGTCTTCCACAAACCTTTGCTAACATTAGAATGAAACGCTGGCTTCAACTTCCTGCAAACACTTTTTATCAGTGTAGTTTTCCTAGCATTCGCAGCGCATCAGGTCAAATTATCCCCCATTTCACATTTTACAATTTGGAAGACTGTTATGGAAGATCGACTTCTCGGTTTCGTATGAACTAGTGGCAAAAATATGAGCGCCATCAAAACTCTTCTGTAGCGTATTGGCTCTCCAAGACAAATGAGCGCCATCAAAACTCTTCTGTAGCGTATTGGCTTTCCAAGACAAATTCCTTTTAAACTGACTTTTGCAATGCAAAAGATGATGCATACGGTAATCTCTTTCATATTGCGACAGTCAGAGCTGGACTTTTCATATGATACTCCAAGGCCCGGACAGACAGAGAAGAGACGTACAAAGGTCAGAAGGTGTGCACATTTGTTGAACCTCCTTATTTGCCTCTACAGCCCACTGTGAAGCTCCTCGACTACGGTTCAACCGCTGAGGATAGCATTCATAAAACAAAATCTGTAAATCACTTTGGCAAACGGAAGTTGAGATAAAAGTCAAAATTTCAATTTATTGCCGGAAACATATGCCGGAAATCCTTGTATTAGATGTTCGCAAAACAGAGGCCTTGATAACTTCTTAGAAATTGAAATTACTAAAACTGGCTTTCAAATGAACGTTGTTATACGAACTATCAGATACGCCATTAAAACTGGCAACGGAATGTTCAGAGTCGAAGTGGCCAATTGAAACAAGTTGCATACTATTCGATGCAGCATAGAATGATTACTTATCTGTCTTCCGTACCTTTGTAGGGGATGTCGTGAGCAGGGTCAAGCGTGTTGATGCGATCCGGGCCCCTCATTTACGACCCCACCCTCTTGAAGGTACCCATCCGTACGACCCCCCTTTCCCCCCTCCCCACCACCCTCCCCATTTATCCCCCTTACTTTCCCTGCCCACATTCCTCGCGGTAACCTGCATAAACAAATGCCGATCTCAAAAAACACCTGCGTGAGAACTTCAGTGAGGTACCGGAAGCAGAACTTCTAGGCCAATGGGTGCGTCCAGCATCTGTAGCACACACACACCTTCAATAATGTTTGAGAATCTGCAAGTTTTTTTTGAATTTTCAGGCATACTTCAAATCAGCAAATTCGTTTCCCGTAAGTGACACAAATTTTTGCACGGACAAAAAATAACATTCTTGAACTAGAAAGTTGTTTCCAACTAAGAAGCTTACTTCCTACCTCTTCCACAGTTTTTCCCGCGGAAAAAGCAGCTTTAGCACCGTCCAGAACGACGTCAAAAACGTGCATGAGCACGGTAGTTTTGAAAATTCGTAACTAAGACCAGGAAAAGGCTGAGAGACTGCGTAGCACAGTTTCTGTAGTATACTGCCCAGACTATTCATAGAAGAAGTTTTAACTTTTGAGGGGAAGCTCGAAAAAATTTAGATGCGACTCTCGCAAATTTAGATGCGATCCTAAAAAGCAAAACTGGGATTTTTGGGTTTAAAATTTTGTAACTTACCAGAGAAGTTGCAAAACAGCCTGCAATTTTTATGCGGGAAAGTAGGAGGATGGCCTCATATTACAGCAGAATTGCAGCCCACAAGCTTCAATAGCTCCGAAGGAATTTAGATGCGACCCAGATATGACCCCCCTTTCCTGATTTTTTGCTACCATACGTAAAATTATAAGAAAATTCACAGTTGACAAAATAACACCAAATTTTGCACTGATGTAGCGGAGCATCTCCGAAGTACAGATAAATCATATGAGCCTGTGAAAAACATTATAAAAAGATTTAGAAATTCATGGTGGTTACAGCTGGTAAAGATATTCGCTTTTGTCGAGTGTGTGAGACTTCAGGAGGGCTTCAGAAGCAAGATTTCTAGGGCAGTCGGTACATTTAGCATTTTTATCAAATCATACATCCTTCAAAAGTGTTTTGAGCTCTAATGTTTTTTTCCTGAGAATTTCTACAGATTTTTTATCTTTTTTATTCTGATTTCCACTTTTTTATAGATTTATTGTAAAGAACATAACTAATTATCTGCTTTTTGATTCCCTTTTAAGCTTAGGGTATTTTAGCCTAACTACCTTCTCTTACCCCCCCTCACCTTAGGTACCCTCTTTACGACCCCCCCCCCCCGTTGCGACAGTCGCATCACAAGCTTGACCCTGGTCATGAGCAGCTTTACTGCGAAAAAAGTTTGCACAGATTGCAAAATTAGGCACATTAGTGCTTTTTTTAGCTCACCTCTAGGTAGGGACCATATGAAGTGACCTAGTTGCATGTTTTGGTTCAACACCAAACCGAGAATGGCTTTGTACGGCCAAGTTTGCCCTTTACGCGCAAGATTACCTGGCAAAAAATGGCCTTTAACGGCTCATAATTTTATCCACAAAAGCGTTCTGCAGATAAGGAAAACAGATTTAAAAACAGTGTTTTATGCTGCATCTAAAGGCATGCACTTTGCTTGGATTGGCCACTTCGATTTCTGACCATTCCCTTGTGAGACCAAAGGTGAAGTAAGGATGCCTCATTTCCAAAAGGTGCCATTAAGAAAAATGGCATTGGGTTCGAATAAACAAGACCATAAAAAGGTTATTGAAGACTTAGACAAAAACAGAGAAAATGGGCATTGATGTGTTATCAAGCTCAGTCAGTCAGTAGACATTTTTTGCCCGGTTACTAGTTCTTTTTATGTAATTCGTAAAAATGCTGTTAAGAAAGTTCTGATATTATTGAGATGAACGGTAAAAAATGGGACACCTACAGAAAATTGTAGGTTTTTCAAGAAAGAGAAGTGATTGTACATTCCAATTTTGATGTATATTAGAATATACTATGAGTCCTCTTTTCTTGTAACCTGGGCATTTGGTTTATAATTTGAACAATTCTTCTATGTCTTACAGGTTTTTATTGGTGACAAACTTTATTACTGCCTTACGTTTCGGTCAACATGTTTCGGACCGCGAAATTGCGCGCGGCGAAAAAAAGTGCACTTTCAGCCGTTAGCCAACAAAGGAGTCTTAATTCATAGACTGTGCGCTACATCTGTAATCATGTCAGATAAGCTCCATCCCCAAAGTTCTGAGCAATTCAAAGTGTTTGAACTTTGTCGCTTGAGAGAGAATTTTTTGCTTTTTTGAGAGATAGGAACAAGAACTCAATTTCTAATAGTATCCAAAAATATCTATGTTGTACATTGTACACTTCAATATTAAACTGCTGTTTTTCTTTTTGAAACTGAAGCAAAAAAATTATGTCGTCGCACGCGTCTCTGCGTTGCCGCACCATGTTGCAACTGATGTTCGATTTTTCTTCATATCTCCTAAACAGACATCGGTGGCACACCTCTGCAAACCCTTTTGAAAAAGAGGAGCTTAGGCCTTCGGCTAGATAACTTTGGACAAAAAGAAGTAAGAGTGGCAATCTCATAGTTCGCACAGCGCAAGATAAGGCAGTAAATCGCTTGTGATAGAGAGCTTTTCATTCTTGCCGTTCATTTTGGGTCACGATTAAGTAAGTAAGATGCTTCTAGAGCCTCTCGTGCAGCGATTCAATTTTCGAAGGCCAGAATCTTGCATTTGATGTTGTGAACCGTCACCGTTATGCTCTGCACCAGTGCGTCACCTCTGCTTCGCAGAGGATCGCACTGGTCCTACTATCCATGTGCCTTTCTCAAAGTCGTAAAATAATGTCTTTGAAACCTACCACGCGATGCCAAATATCAGGAATGAACTGTAAACAATTACTTATTTCAGGAGCTTTTTTATGTAAGATCGGTGATTTTGAGAGGACGAAAGTACTTTCTAAAAGATTAATTGTGGGTTTGAATCGCTTACTGGAGTTATAATGGCGTAGTCGCCTTAAGGATGATGACAACCGTGAGCTACACCTCTAAGCAAAAATCTTCTTGAATTCTTAGGTAAAACCTTGACAAATCGACTATCTACGCAATTATTCTTTTTGGGCGCCGATCTTGCGTGAAAGTAGATTTTTTGCTCACTTTTCGGGCTAGAGTCCATCGTTTGCGGAGTTACTTGTTAGATAAATCCACGACTTTGAAAAAAGTCCGACTACAGGCCCACTCTGACGCGCCAGAAGTCGCATGGATCCGTTTGGCGCACAATTTTCATATGTTCTACTTATCGGATCGACTTTTGCTTTTGCACACTTTATCTACATGCTGATAGGGTGCCATGACCAAAATTCTTACTCAAGACCTTTGCTGGAACTCGTGACAGACAGAGGTTCACACACACACACACACACACACACACACACACACACACACACACACACACACACACACACACACACACACACACACACACACACACACACACACACACACACACACACACACACACACACACACACACACACACACACACACACACACACACACACACACACACACACACACACACACACACACACACACACACACACACACACACACACACACACACACACACACACACACACACACACACACACACACACACACACACACACACACACACACACACACACACACACACACACACACACACACACACACACACACACACACACACACACACACACACACACACACACACACACACACACACACACACACACACACACACACACACACACACACACACACACACACACACACACACAGACAAACGTAAACAACCCTTAGCCCGTTATTATATAGACCAGTCTGATCGTCCGGCT